GTGGTGGTGGTGGTGAAGCGATACTAAAAACAATACGACTTCAGTTCTGAAAGCACAAAATTGTGCAATAAACAGAGGCACGCGGCTACGATTATCGCATGAGCAGAAGAACTTCTGCCCACGGCTCCAAGACGCAACAATTGCTCACGAGGAACTGGATGCTTCTCAATCCATTGTTTACAACTCAAATTCAATTTTTAAAAAAAACAACAAAAAAATCTTCAAAAGTGACTGTGGTGTTGCATGAATGATGGCACTGGTACTGGTAATCGAGTGATTCCTTTCGACATCAACCGACCGTTTCTCATGATCGTTCGCAAATGTCGGCGTCGAATTCTCACTAATTTCGCCTTCTTCCAAATTCATCGGCAACATTTCCGCTTTCTCATCAACAGTTTTCCTCATTTTGACCTCAAATTAAATACGCCTCAACACCTCGTCCAACGATTCAGTAGTCTCAAGTGTGAAGCCCTATCGAATATCTTTGAAATGAAAAATCGAGCACTTTTGCAAATTTCTTAGGGNCAGTAGTCTCAAGTGTGAAGCCCTATCGAATATCTTTGAAATGAAAAATCGAGCACTTTTGCAAATTTCTTAGGGGAATAACTGAAAAAAAAAGGGAATAAGGAACGGCTTTCAAGCAATGCTCACAAAAAACGACAATAATTTCGAACGACAGACTAAACCGCTAGTCTCAGTAGTGCAATTCTAGATTGGATACGAGTAGTAGGCATACGTATTCCAATCATAACGTGAACAAAAGAGCAAACAAACTACCTGTGCAAGAAGAACAGCTCTGAGCTTATCAACCTCATCATCAACTGTTGGCTCATCCACTGACATTTTCTTAGCTGGTGAAATTACGTGCGGTTCATTTGGTGCTGTCAAATGCGATTGTGAATCTTAAACAAAACAGATTCATCATGGAGAAACGGATGTATTCATGGAGAATAGTTCAAACAACTGCATACAGATTAATGAGCAGTCAGTGCTGATGAAAAGAATCCCTCCTTAACCCTGTAGGATAGTGAAGAAAACCAATCTAAATATTTCGAAAAAAAACTTTAACATTCCCTCCGTGATCTTGAGGCTAGCTATTATGCATCTTTTTTCGAAAACGTTACAAAAAATATCTTGCGTCTCCTATTGTTATCAGAAGACGGAATACAATAGGAGAAAACTGGAACCTCGATCACTGTCCTCGATATCCATGCCAACTTGGTCGTAATTATCAGTAAAATTAGCAGGCTGCTGAATCTGATTCACATTTGGCGCTGGTGACTGACTTGAGGTAGCAGCTGCTGCAGTAGCACTCTGTTGCTGCTGTTGTTTTTCAAAGTTCATTCGAATATTATGCAGTGCCTCGTCATATCTCAAAATTTATCCAATTCGTGGCAGATTCTTTGATATGAAAGTCGTGAAATTTCAACACACACTTCCTAGACATCATCACATATCAAATTATACGCATTTTTTTCAGACCAACAAAATGGTCGGAATGAATTTCGAAACGATGAACAGTTTCACGTGCTTAGAAATCTCGTTGGTGAGCTAAAAAGTAGAATTCAATAGAATTATTACGACGACCTTTGATGATAACGTAATGAGCGAATGTGTTTCCTGTATAAATGAAAAANAAAAAGAAAATGATACCACTGAGCAATTTCTCAATAAAAATATAAGTGAAACTCACTCGGCCGACCACATCGTTTGGTGAGATTTTGACTCATCGATAGCGCTCTCCTTCTCGAGGATCACATTCGTTTCATTTGATGGATTGTTTGGAACAGTTATTAAAAGTGGTTCCATTGCATCTTTTGACGATCCACGTGAACCTTGAAGAGACAACCAATTTGAAATTAGCAACGAAATCCAGTTCTTAAAAAAAAAGAAAACTGCGTACATTATCATCGCAATTCTGCCGGTTTATGGAGCAACACGCAGATCCGTTGCGCATGAACACATAGAATGAACATTCAAATATTACAACAACAATGAGTCATTAGCAAAGCGCTCAGCTGAATGAGCCAACCATCCAAACAGCGAAATGTTCATCGTTACATGAAGTATTCATTACTTTTGCGAACAATCATACCCAAGTAATTTACAATTTGAAACAAAAAAGATAATCAAACACACTTCGCATTGTTTTGTTCGGATGTCTCGTATCCAATCGGACCCATATAGACGAAGAAGGCTGTTCCGACTGAGAGATTTGATGATCCGTGGTTGACTGCTCATTGGTGTTGCAAGAAGCTGTAAGTGAATATATGTTTAGCGTTCGTTCATGACGGAGTGTTCTCCAACGGCTGTCAGCTATTCAGTCAAATTTTCAAATAATCATCATTTAAGCACTTGAAAGAAGCGAGCATCGTTCTCGAAACTTTTCAGAAGTGCACAAAAACGTACGTTTCGAATGTCTGTTGTCGTGTTGCTGCTGTGTAGTAGCATTTGAATGAATAGCATCGGTTGTTGAATATTTACAATTACTTTTATCCTTCTTATTATGAAGATCACCATGATTCTCTTCGTTAATATCATTCGGGGTTGTTTTTTGCAGTTCTTTTAACCGTTTATTTTTTTGCACCGATACAATTAAAGCTCGACGCAGCAACTCTTCTTCGTCCACCTTCTCATTCGTGTCCCATATTTCTGCCTCTTCAGATGGTCCACTCTTCGAAAAATTCTGAAGTGACCAATTGAAACGAAAAGAACTTTTCATCACCACTAAGAACGTAACAAAAATTGCGCGCAATCAATTAATCACCTGCATTTCAGCAATGATACGATCCACTTCCTTTTCGTCATCTTGGTTTATTGATGAAACCACATTGAGGTCCGAAGCTGTTGTTGAGACAGTTGCAATCATACTGAAAGCGATATGTTTCGCTTGATTACTTCACAAAAACAACAACAAAATTTCTGTGGTAGACGAAGCTTCTTCATCCATACGCCGATAAACGAATGATCCGAATGAGATCGCGATAAACGATTGATTGAAATGAATCTTTGCTTGTAAAATGTCTTAATCGCTTATAAAATGCCTTAACGCCTTGTAAAATTAGAGTTGGCTAACACCGGTCGATTTGAAGTTGATGATCACAATCGATGGAACGGTTGTGCTCAAGAATAAAGCTATACAAACTTGGATAGCATCAACATGCTGATCAATTTTAATCCGACTCTCATCAGATCATCGTAAATAAATTTTGAAGAAAGATATTAAAGTAAATAATCATAGAGATGCAGCTCAGTTATTCATAAATTTTACTTTCAATCCTTTACGTACTCTGCTATATCTTTCTCATCAGCAATATTCCATTGACGAAGCGTATATCCCCTGTTGGCTTTAGGGCTTTTGAGAGTCACTGGGAATGTGAGCAAAAATCACGATTCAAAACGATCATAATGCTAATTAGGAATATACCCATTATCATGATAGGCAGATGGTGAATACGGCTCATCTCCTTCGCCCTCTGTATCAACAATTTCACCGTCTTCCGGTGACGACGAATCACCGTGGAGCGCCATTTGACATCAACTCTCGCTATATGTTGATTCTGAAAATTTGAATACAAAAATATTTATTGCAATACTAAATGCGATGAAACGAAATGATTTACATTTGAAGGTAACTCCATTTCTCCTTGACCTAAACAGGAAGATTACCCATTTGAAATACAACATGATTGCATGCGCATTGAAAAATCGATTGCGATCAACTTTGGAATGCATCATGAAAACGAGATTCCGAGACAAGTTTCTTTTCTTATTGCTTCAGCAATAATCTGAGTGAAGTACGACGATGGATTACAGTTTTGGGTGCGTACGCACTTCGCCATATGCACGTGTCGGCGGAAGGAGGGCGGAGTCACGAC